GGGGCGGGAAATATAGGACCAGATGGAACAAGAGTGCCACCGAAGTGAAAACTATTTTTAAACAAAATTTCGGAGATTGAAATTCCAAAATTATGCCGGATGCTTGATTTTTTTTAAACTTGTTTATTACTGTAGGAGTGGCATTCTTGCTCTATGTAAGGTTGAATTTCAAGAAGTGGACTTTAAACAAACCAGTTAAATAAAGTATGCAAGTATTGTTTGATCTTGATGTTCGAAATAATCAATTATAACGGTGCCTCAGTACAAAAATTGGAGAAAAACATATTTGGGAATTTCAACATTCATATTTTATGATGTTCAATTATTGTAAAAAAAAAGCTATTTTCGGAAAACCAATACCAAAATACATAAAAAAGCAGAATTTTTTTTTTGTACGGAATGCAAAATCCAGCCGTTTTTTATTGACTATTCGCCGCAAAATAAACATAACGAAATAAAATATAAATAAATGATACACGAGGTTGTTGATTTCTCAATATTTTTAATACTTTGTCATACTTTTTTTCATAACTCTGATTCATAGACATTTTCTTTAACAAACAATACCGCATTCAAGTTAATGGCATCAATCTCTATTGTACTAGGACTACTTGTTTGAGTGCTGAAATTTGATGATTTTTAACATCTTTTCAATAAATCTGAAATTTATGCAGAAAAACATGTTTGTTTTGAAAAACTCGTCAAAGCAGCTATTGGAGTCTATATAAGGATTTCCGGTAACTATAAACTCTACATGTGGGCAACATTTCATAAATTAGAAACAAAGCACTTCGTGAGCTAAAGCACTAAATGTAGTACATTTAATTTTATACGACACTATTTTTTGGATTAAAACAGAAATTGTCCATCTTTCCCTCACCGCCCTCAAGATGCCTCGTTAGCGCAAAACCGTCAATTTGTTGCAAAATATTTCGCCTCCCCGCAGCAAAATTTAGGTGAGCATTGCTTATAGCGAATTCGTTTATTTTTCAGTTCCAACCTGGATCGGGTATCAAGATTGGGTCTGCTTGTTTTCTGACAAACGTCAGTTTGCTCGTTTGTTTTTAAAACCTAGCTCAGGTTGAGGTTCGCACTGACAAAAAGTTCGGTTTTGCACTGGGTTGGAACTGGTTCCAACCCCGATAATAAACGAATTCGCTATTAGTGGGTGAAGACAGTAAAATCTGGATCAGTAAGAATAAAAACAATAAGCTTCACAAATGAAACAGAACGCGGACTCCGGCAGGCAGGATAAAAAAATCTCTTTCTCTCTATTTGCCGTGTCTCCGTATCCGAACATAATGTAATAACCAGTAAAATCTTGCTCAACCATTGTCTCAGTCAATCAGTGATACAAGCCACCTGAAACTCGAGCGGCACTCACTCAGTGCCCGAGTTTCCTCGGTATCGGCTTGGATTTTTGCATTTCATAGAATGAACAGATAAAGGCGTAAACGTAAAGGGCACTCTTTCGCTCTTCTCTTGAAGCGGTAGGTGACTGATGAACAGAGACAGTTTTGGTTTGTAGTTCTCTCCCGTGGAGATTATTGTCGGTTTCAAATCGCGGCTTCGCTCATCAATCAGCAACATTGGTTCTAAGAACAGTAAAACAGTTCGTGTAATTTTTCTTAATATCTATAAACCCAATTGAAGTCATTTAATATCTTTAAACTGCTTTAATTGGACAGTTCTTGAAATTTTCCAGAAATTTATGGAAAAGCCCTGAGATCATTGGAACCTAAAATTAGGGTTTAATATCCCTAATTTTCTCGTAGCTCTGGAAATTTGTGAAGATCTTAGCGTTATCAGAAGTTCCTTTTCATAAAATTCCCGCAATGATTCCCGCATTTTTTTCTGATTTTAAGACCCTTAAAAAACTGCGTTTTAATTTTTCTAAAAATTAAAAAAAAAACATTAGTTGGTCTCAAAAAAAAAACCGCAAAAATCAACCTGTCGGTATTGTTTAGAGTCAATAAATTTTTCATGATGAGGTAAACAAACATATTTGCGCATGTTATTTTTTTCCTCAGATTCTTGAAAAAATTTACTTGTAAAATATTTTTTTCTAACTCATCAAGAAAAAAATGTGGATTCTAAACAATACAGAATGGTCGATTAATGCGGTTTTTTTAGTCCAACTGTTTGCCACTGATGACTTAGAAAAAAATGTTTAAATGCGAATAAAAAAAAAAAATAATGGTTTTATTTCTCTGATATCTTTTCCTAATATTTTTAGAAATATCAAAACGTTCTTTTTCGGAACGGTAAGCTTTTCCTAAATTGAATGAACATAGATTTTTCGTAGTTTTCCTGAAATTCTCGGATCTTCATTAAAGATCCCCTAATTTTTCTGATGCTTTTTTGAAAATTTCTGGACATTGCTGCATCTGCATCTGTAAAGTGACTGCAATTTTTTTAATTAATCGAACGGCCCTGAACTAATTAAAAAAAATAGTTTTTGGAATTCCCCAAATGCTTAAAATATTTTTCGGATGTTCATGAAACTTCCCTGAATTTCTCAAAACTTGCCCCAAGCTCTCTAACCCTTTTTTTTAGATCTTTAAACATACCAGAAGATTTCTTGAAGTTTTTCTAAAGTTTTTGAAGTTGATGCAAGTGTCATGAAGTTTTTTGATCTTCATCAAGTTCACGATGGTTTAAGTTCATGGACCTGTCCTGAACTTCTCAGAACTTACCTTTTTCAGATCTTTAAACTTACTCCCTTAGCTAAGTCGGTAAACGTGCAGCTACAAAGCAAGACCATGCTGAAGGTCGCTGGGTTCGATTCCTGGTCCGGCCTAGGAATTTTTCAGGTTGGAAAATATCTCGACTTAGAGTCATAGAGTATGATTGTACTTGCCACACAATTATACTAATGCAAAAATGGTACAGGCATCGAAAGCTCTTAATGTATAACTGTGGAAGTGCACTTAGAACACTAAGTTGAGAGTACGCAATAAGCTAATATGCGATAAGTAATAAGCTTGAAATGCGAATAAGAAGAAGAAGAAGAAGCGAGTTTTGACCAAAAAGGGCTCCTAAGAATATTATTGGAATCTTTTTTATAATCCTTTAAAACTATCCTGAGAGATCGATTTGTATTAAAATCACTTCAATATTTTCTATGAAATCTAGTCAAATATCTCATCAGAATTAGTTCTGAATTCACCTCTGTAATCTATTAAAATTTTCCTCATTATCGTTGAAATTCTCTTCTGAATTTTCTTGAAACGCCCCTAAAATTTATTTTAAATTTTTCTCCATTTTTGAGTACCTCAAAATACGGTTCCTTTGGTATAATTCTCGAAATTCCTAATTCTCTAATTCATCTTCCTCAGTATTCCATTGACAATATTGTTTGAACACTCTTTAAATTCGGTTTGCATAACTCTTGGAATGATCATTTAAATTCACCTGCTATTCTCCTCCCGTTCTCCATATAATTCTTCTCAGAATCAGCTAGCAATTCTCCTTGAAGAGCTCTTTGACTTGCAAATTTTGAATCCTCCTTAAAACTTCATTTATTTTTGAGTCCTCAAAATTCAATAGCTATTCTAGATCACTATGATGATGCAGCCAGATTTGTCGTCGCACTTTCAAAGCGTGAACTCATTATCAATCAGCTCGGCGAGTCCAGAAACATAGCGGCAAGGATATTTGTGGGCTTGGAGAGCCGGTTCCAGTTGAATCCCGAGTTGAAGGTAGCGTACGCAGATTTCATCCACGAGTACGAGCGACATGGTACAAGTTCCGGATTTCGAAGTGCAGTATCCGTGTACTATCTTCCCCACCATGCAGTTCGCAAACTGGGCAGTACAACGACGAAGCTACGTGTCGTTTTCGACGGATCGTGTAAGACCAGCAGCGGTGTATCGCTCAACGATGTGCTAATGGTTGGACCTGTAGTTCAGAAGGACTTGATCGCCATCACTCTCCGATTCCGTTTGTTCCGCATTGCCATTGTAGCGGATGTGCAAAAAATATATCGGATGATACTCATCTATCTAGCCGATCGATGCCTACAGCGGATCGTCTACCGAGATTCTCCTGACGAACCGAATCCGAACGTACGAGTTAGCAACTGTCACTTACAGGACTGCATCTGCACCGAGTTTGGCGACAAAGTGCTTGCAGCGGATGGCAGAAGAAGAAGCTCTCGCTTATCCTTGCGCAGCTATTGTGTTGAAGGAAGCCGACGGCATGCTGATTGGAGCGGACTACGTCGATGCAAATTTATTTAAAATATTCTCAATAAAATGCGGAAAACCGCATTCTTTTAAAGTGTTTCTGTTCGAAAAAAAAAATCGCGAAATTTACCCTTTTTACCTTTCTTAGCATCCGAGAATGACGATTTTGTTCCTGCTGTACTCGCGTGATTGTGAACACATCTAGGGGAAATGGCTCTAATGTCCTATGTGTCCCAAATATTGAGCCCATGCATAAATCCAATCGGACCAATATGGTGAACAATCAACAACCAAAAATATCCACGAGTACCGAGTACAAGATGATGCGTTCATTGTTTTTAGCTAACTTTAAGCATGAACTTCCCTAACCGGTAGATAATTAAATTAGTAAAGTCACTCCCGAAACGTGTCAGTAAATTTAAACTTGTCTCTGATGTCCAGCGCTGTAGAGGCTCAACTCGGAGTTAACTCGAAGTTGTTCACATTTTAATCACATTTCCACTTGAAAAACTTTCAGTTCCGAGCAAAACAAGGTAGCATGTGTCCCAAGTGCCGCCTCTCCTCATTCAGCCTTCACAGTCAATCAGTAAATAGGATAACAAAGTTTATCATGCCGTCGTCGTTGTCGTCGTTGGACGACCTGGTGTCCTGTTACCGAGCAATTAAGACGATATTCCACTCTCATAAACGAACTCTGCGCCCTAGATGGTCCGATTCGTCGCTGGAAGCTGTTGAACCCAAATCATCATCCCCAGTCATAAAATGCCACATATAAACTGACCGCATTTCATTCTTCTTCTTCTTCTTTTGCAGATCTGCCGTGGACACCGTGACAAAGACAAAGGTTGCCATCAAAAAAATATCCCCCTTCGAGCATCAGACCTACTGTCAGAGAACGTTACGGGAAATCAAAATTCTCACCCGATTCAAACACGAGAACGTAAGTTTCAATACACTTCTATGATTAACATTTACTTTTGCTCCGATATTGGATGATGCGTGCGTGTGACTTTGTGGATACTTTTTCGGTGTGGAAATGTTGACATCCGTAACATTAATAACAAATTTCTTCGGGAGGATGGGCAGGGGCGTTTTCCCAGTCTGACATTGGTGCAGGCAAATTGATGAACTTTTAAAGTTTAAAATAGAAAAAAATGGACCCGAGCGGAAAGTTTTTAAACGATTTCCAGCTTTATTACGACTGCGATGAGTTTTCCTACTTTTGCGAGGAAATGGGGATGGGAAGTTAAGCAGTCTTTTCTGAGAATCGTGGAGTTTTGTTTACCGGAAAACAGAATCATGAGTTTGCCTGACGGTAAAAATTTTTCTTTCACGGATGAACCGCTTCTGAAAAATTTGTTCGAAATTCCCAAACGACCCCGAGCTATTTTCGAGTAGCTCCCTCAGGTTGTGAATACACGGCGAGTTCAATTTTCAATCTACCCATGCTTGGAGCGATTCACATCCCGTATCACACGAGCAGACAGACGAGTCTACGATCAATAATATTTTTGACCTGTTGGCTTACCCATCATCATCATCATCATCATCATCAATGACAGACAAACACAATCAGGGTGGCTAATGGAGAAAAAAAATCGTTCGTCCTATAGTTGGTCTCCAGCGTTCTGACCGGAGCAGACGAAAGCCATTTTTCCAGGGATTAGGTATTTCCCGACATCAATAGAACTTTGTACATATTCTAAACTAGCACAATCCAGTCGAATCCACGTTCAAAGATTTCGTTTCATTTGCCGCAATTTGCATATTGGCTTTGTCCTTGCCTGTTATGGCTTTGCTCGATGATACCTTCCGATGCATATATTCGAATTTATATGTATGTTAGAGGTTAGGTTAGATAGAGATGGGAATCCAATCTGCATAGACCACCATGACAGAGTGGATCGTCGTCGATGGTCAGGTGTGCGTGTGGTGGGTTTGTATGCATTAGATTAGCTTTTTCCAGCTGAGCAAACTAGATTGATGATGGAATATGAGAAAGCTTCGAATGAGCATAAATATTTGATTTAGGGATGGTTTGTTATCGAATCCAACCAGATTGTGAATCAATTTTCCGAATGCATCGGGTATGCAAGTAGGAGATTGAATTGATTCCAAGAAATTATACCCATAGACGATCATCTGTTGATGCAGGTTTAATGGATTACGAACGAACCTAGCATAAATCACAATACAAAGTTATGCTGTAATGAGCTGTGGAAGATTAACAAAACCGTACAACTGTTCACAGAAGAACAGGAAGGCTTTGGTCCATTTTACCACTTTGGTGAATACTGCGAAACTTTCCAGATGGTCAGCATTTGGAGATACAACTTGTATAAGAAATTTACATGCAAATTAGCGCCAAGTATCCAGTGATGGAATTCTCACCAAAATATCATTTTCGCTTGCGATACGTTTTCTCTTGGGAACTTTCCCTCACTAGTTTCACACTCCAATATTTCCTGAGCGAACTTTATGGGATGAGAGAATGAGATATCGCGAACTTTTTTAACTCGAATCACCAACGTGAGGATACGAAAAATATCAGATCATTTTTTCTCTCTATCTCTTTACACCACATTCGTTCTTGAAAATTGCACTGCACATTTCACAAGGGAAAGATTATAGACAGAAAGCTATCCCGAGTAAATCAATACAATCTCTAAAGACTGATAAGTCTGGTACCTGGCTGTCTACTGGCGCCTGTTGTTTAAAGTAGCCGTTATCAGGATGATGTGAACAGTTTTGTGCAACTGATTGATTGGTGCATTGGTTTCTGGCAAAAAAAAATGAATGAATCAGCACAAGTGTCAACGCGAAATTAACGAGGAACGGGGAGGGTAGTGTAAGATTTTGTGACTAGCAATTTTTATATTAAAACCGTTCCTCAGGATAGGGGGTTGCGGAAGGAGGAGCGCCTAATGTATCCTCATTTTCACGAAATACAGTTAATGCATGGCTCCTCTCATCACTAGTGTTCGTAATATCGTTCCTGTAAGCTCTTATGCAATAATTATATGCAGGGGGATGGTTGGGAATATAGGTGGTGGTGAACTTTTTCACTGTGCTATTACCAGTGCTGTAAATTCTCAAAATCATTTGAACATTTTTGATGAAAATTATAAAAGTAGCTATTCGCTATCAAAGGGGACCTCCTCCGAATGGGTGATATCAGTTGCTTAGTCATTTGACGAAGGCATGGATCATTCTCATTTGAGAAACGCTATATATCATTCGATTGAGTGTAACCTACACACAAACGGAGCTCTGGTCGACATTCCGGCGAAAAAGCTAAGCCAACCCGACACCAACCTGACTTCTATCAAACCCCAACCCGATGTTGACCCGACATTGACCCGACATAAACCCAAAATTGACTCGACATTAACACGACATTGGGTCGACATCGACCTTAAATTAGCCTTACATTGATCCGACATCGGGTCGACTTGTCTGTTCGGGACCATTTTCCTGGATTTCTTCCATACTCCACTGTCGTATATCAAATGATACTGAGTGACTCAATTGACAGTGACAATGAGCTTCGAATGAGAAAGGGGCTCTTCAAATTATGGTCATGTGAGAATTCGTTTACACAATTCTGTGAATGGTTGTAGTGGTTCATCTTCAATCGAATTATATGAAAATTTACAGCACTGGTTACAAGTATCTATTATTAGCTGGTTGCATTGAGAACTAAAACTATAAATAAATCCGGAAAACTTTGAGATTAGGGCGTAATTTCTTTTGTAAACACACACTTAATTATATAATAACCGATTTCTCGTGAATTAAAGTTCAATCTAAAAAAACTAACAACACAGACAGGTAGAGGAATGATTCATTTGGTATCTTGTTTGGTATAGTATAGTTCGCTAGATTGTGCTTTGATTCGTGAGAAATCGCTGAATGACGTGTTTGTTTACAAAAGCAATTACGCCCAAATCTCAAAGTACTCTGGAAATGATATTTAATGTGAAGGATGCGAAAAATATCGGAGAACGAGAAGAAAACAAACAGACACTCTCGCGTGATCATCGCCTACCTTTAATCGCTGAAAAAAAAGAACAAAGCTGAGGGGATATTTGGTTGGTTCGAATCACGAGTACGTGTGAAATGATGTGAGATGGAGAGACGAAAGATCTTTCGCGATACGAAATGAAAATTTCTCTCGCTCTACGCTTTCATGAACTTTTTATCATCTCTCGTTCGCGAACTTTTTGTGAGAAGTTCCTTTGGGATTTATCTCTGCAATGAGCTGTGATAGAACTTTTTTTGAAAATGAATTTTCCAACACTGCGTATACTATACTGGGAGAATTCATAGCTAAACCGTTCACCCTCCGACAGGTCCTAGTCAGCTTTGCCCGAGAAATCATATTTTCAGAAAGCCAGGATCTCACGAAATAGCATGAATAAGCAATATACCGAACCTAAGTATCCACTATCTCAAAGCCCTTAGTTTCCTTAAAAGCTTTACCGAAAATAGCAACTCTTTGGATGGTCCGGAGCTCAACGTAGTGGCAGACATTCAATCTAAACTGTACATCATTGGGTCCTCCTGACGGAGTTGTTAGGTGCATTTGGAAAAAATCTTCACCGAGAGCGACGAAATGTCTTCACATGTTTTCACCGCTGCTATTCAAGAAATTAGAGGAGGGTGTTTAATATTTCAGATTTATAAAACTGAGTCTTTATACATTTAGGGCAATTTTCAAAAGTAAAGACAACACAATTGATTTCAGAGAGCTTCGTTAAATTCAATGAACGATAATGGGGAAAATAGACGGAAAATACATTTAATTGTGTAACGCTGAAATTCGCTAAAACAAAAATTTAGTTCATATAATTGTAGGTATCGTAAAACTGGGTAACATTGATAGTTTTTTAAAGTATATTCTAAATATTTTTTACATCAATTAATGTTTCGCAAATTTTATTTTGATTTAATCAAATACTGAGGATCCAAGAGTCAATTCGTTAGGAAAATGTTTATCAAAAATTATTGCATTTGCACTACTTTTTTTTAGTCTTGTGACCGAACATCAGTATTTTGATTTGGAGTTACTTTGATTACTTTAATAATGCTAGAAAAACATGTGTGAATCTCAAACAATTTAGTTCAAGAAATATGAAAAAAATCATAAGCAATAATAAGACAACATTGAATTTGTGCTGGCTATATAAATACATTCCATAAGTGATGGTTTGAGTGCTTTTTCAAACAGGCAAAAAGAAAGAAAATTGTTTTTCAATAAGTTTGGCAAACATGTAACACAAACTATGTAAAAATTATATGCGATATCAAGGGAAATGCCCTAAGCTACAATATGGAACCAATGTTTCTAATTCGGAAAAAAAAGGCAGAGAGTAAATAAAATCATTATATTCTACTATCAAAGCTACCCGCATTATCAAAGATACCCCGTTTTACGGTACACAACTTGCGGATCCGAATGGAAATGGTTTCATCCTGGGGAGAATATAAGATGTTTGAGTTTATTGCTTTTTCTTCCTAAAACATATTTTTGTCTTAAAAAAAGCAAAAAAAAAGGTTATCTTCCATTTAATTTCATTTAATTAATTTTGGCATCTATGACAGATACTTATTTCAACTACATCTTGCAGTCTTTATCAGTGTCATTCCCACTAAAGACTTATCAAAACCTAACCCCCTTAAGCACTCGTCTCCTTTTCGGTTGTCTTCCCTCATTGTGGAACGTTGTAGAACTTCAAAAAAAAACTTCGCAGATCTTCGTGAAACATCGTAGAACTTTTGGAAACTTCGAAAAAGTTCAGAAAACTGCGCAGAAGTTCAGGAAACCTTCTAAAAGTGTGGCCAATTTTGTAGAACTTCTACAAATTTATAATTTCAGACAACTTTATAGAACAGTGGTTATCAAACTTTTGTCGATTGCGAACCACTTTGGAAATTTGC